CGCGTCTGGATCTTGGTTTCCAAACCAGTGAAGCTGTTATCTGTTTTCCAGGCAATCTTCTCCCTGATCAGGTATATTAGTTTCTGAGATCGCAAGGAGGTCAAGAGGGTACTGCTCCTTTGTACTGGTGACGTCATCCAACTTGTCTCCGTTTGACATTCGAACGTTCCATCAGACGATACGGATCTTCTCCTTGCTTATGTTGATCGACTGGAAGTCAGGTTTTTTGGTGTTAAACGTTCGGATCTGTGGACGTACGCCACTCATCCGGTCGCATATCCAGGTCACGTAGCGGAGCGAAAGCACTATCCGACCGCTCGCAGCGGCGTACAACCGAACAAGACGAGCATAATAGACCTCATCCTTTGAACAGCGAGCAGATACCATGGTGAATAGATTTCTCTATATCTTTCGATGATAAACATTTATGGTAGGCCTCCGCCTTTCATCTCAAATGAAGGAAGGAGGCGATGACAACCTTCTCGTGATTTCCATTGTTACATGCTAATCACGATATGAATGAAACAAAGTGATTCATCTTAAGTTTCCAGTGTTCTCTTAGACAGATTTGCCTTAAGTGCATGAAAAATTTCTCAACCTCTGGTTTCCATTGTTTTTTTTTGTTGTCTGAATAATAGCACAAAATGGTTACTCTGCGTTAAGAGTGGTCAGTCGGAAGACTGACCAGTACCGACCTCTCGCCCCGTGTGTCACGGTTCCTCTTCAAAGTTGAGATATAAATAGAGTTCAGAAATTGTTCTTGTCGTTTGAATATGATGGTATGCTTGGAGCCGAGAGGCGAGTTTACGATCCATGTTATCGGTTAAATAGTTTTACGGCGACAAGGCGCATCCAATCTGTCCACGGTTCGTATCCTTTGTCATGGTTGACTTTGTCACAGGAATGGATTACAAATGCCTACGTGATGCGTCAGTGTCTTTCTTTGGGGAGGCCGCTGCACTCTGACCAACGGGGCTCACGTCCTTCCTAATGCTGCACAAACTCGGGTCTTTTCTCACTGGTTCTCGACTTGACTGAAGGGGATGTTTGATTTCTTCCTGGATGTTTCGTTGGCATATGTCGTTCACGCTCGCCTTCGATAGACTGTTTTTTCTTTCTTGTCAGGTAGGTTTTTTCTTTCAGTGACGGTATTTCCTATTTGTTCTGTGTAATATTTCTCGCAGTTACATGGTATTTACAACCCCGCCTACAATATTCTCCGAGTTGCTTAATGGAGTATTAAGTTTATTGGAACTTTTATGTATTGCGCGAATATATACTACGTTTGTATATTGCCACTTTCTGGCTTCAAACGTTGGAATAGCTGCGAATGACTGAAAGAATTTCCTTAGCCAACTCACAGCTCTACCTTGAAAAAGGGCTATGAGACGCAGGTCGAAACGTCGGTATTGGTCAAACATCCAGTTGAGCATACCGTTTGTGTTAAATAAATGAATACGCCGTATTTGTTGTATTTGCGTACTACTGTATTTAGTAACCTAGGAAAATAATGATAAAAGAGAGTTAGGGCTTATTTAAAATATTACTTTCGTTATTATTGGCGTTACAGGTTAATAGTTGGTTATTCTACAGTTAGTAATATATTAACAAATTTAGATGGATAGATATTGTATAGGATTGCCTTAAGGCTTATTTCCTCATTAAGAAATTCATAACTTCAGAGTTCGAGGGCTCCGTCTTTTTTATTGACCCTTTCATTGTGCATATCCAATCTTCCAGTTACGAAGAGGCTGTGAAACACCATTAGTCGTACTTTGTTCTTGCATGCTATGCTGTCCTCAACGTTAGTTGTTGTCATCTTGATGCTACAGAAGCTGATGGTCACGGACGTGCAAGGTGGTTTATAGAGGGTCTTTTTACTAAATAGTTCTATAAACGTGCATAGCGTTGTCCAGCATTCGCTGATTTTTATATTCTTGCATCTGATATCAGAAATACAGGTTCGTATTTCTAATGTTAGAAGCAAACCCTGAGTTTCTAGGATGAGGAAGGTTGTAAAGTAAGATGTGGTGTCTGATATTTGGTAGGATTTGGCATTCATTAAAGACTCCCAGTGGTGGGATACCTACTTTTTACGGTGATATATCAGGTATAATGAACGTTTGGCGAG